TATGGATTCTAATGTTTCATATTTGCGTGCTTACAAAGAGTTGAAGGTTTATATTATCGTTTTTTGTTTCGAAAAATTTTATTCTTATTTTTTATTGTTCAATTTTTATCGATATTTTTTTAATTTAATTATTTATTAATTTAATAAATTTAATTATTTGTAAATAAATTTTAATTTTTGAAAATTTTATATAAATCCTTCAATTTTATTTTCCTTTTTTAACAACGATATCTGAATTTTATTAATAAAAATGAATGAATAAAAATTACAACGCATCTAAAGAGAAAATTAGAGACAATAGTCACAAAAAACTCATACATAAAATTAAAATATTAAACTCAAAGATACGAAAAGAATGAACCATTCCAAACATCAAAACAATCCAGTAACCTTCATCTCCTTATCTTTGTCGAACGAGACACTTTACGATGTGATAAATGAGTGGTGAGCGAAGCAAACAATTTGGCAGATTACTTCGCTACACAATTATGATTATATCGGCAAACGACCATATACAAAAGAGATGATCTAACAATATGTGATCACCGACAAGCCGATTAGAAAACAAATGTCTTGAGGATCTTTGTAGAAGCACCAACGCGACCGTAGAAGTATGTGAAAAACTTACCGAAAACCATAAGGAACATGTCACAAAAGCAGAGAAAAAGCGTGCCACAATAGCATATAAAAGCTCGTCACAATAACAAAGATTATTATTTAAAAGTGAAAAAATCGAAAAAAAAGACATAACATAAAAAATAACAAAAAAAATAAATCACATGCGGTCGACAACCATTATTAAGATTAATGCCGTAACCACCTAAACAAAAAACAGCAGAAGAAAAGAAGACGACACAAGAATATTAAAAGAAAATTTTGGTTAAAGAAAAGGACAAATACGCGATATTAAAATTTTAAGTAAACATAAATTATCTTAAAAATAAACAAACAAAAATAAATCAAATATAAATATCTCAAAAAATAAATAAACATAAGCAATTTTATTAATATAAATGCCATGTAAGACACAATTGAAGGAATACATTTTCAAGAAAAAATGTAATATTTATATAAATACTATTAAAAAGCTTAATGTAAAAGTAATTATCTAAACTATATTTAAAATTAATTTTTCATGTTTAAATAAAATTTTGTTAAAAATAAATATTTTATATTTTATATGTTATACTTTTAAGTATCTACAGTTAAAAGAAATCATAAAATATGCTATATTCAAGAAAAAATGTAATATTTATATAAATACTATTAAAAAGCTTAATGTAAAAGTAATTATCTAAACTATATTTAAAATTAACTTTTCGTGTTTAAATAAAATTTTGTTAAAAATAAATATTTTATATTTTATATGTTATACTTTTAAATATCTACAGTTAAAAGAAATCGTAAAATATGCTATATTCAGATATAACTATGATACATGTCACTTTATGATATTTAAATAATAAACAATTAAAAATATAATTAAAAAATATTAAACATATATATTTAATAAAAAAAATTAAATACTAAAAAATAATTTTAAATATTTTTTTAAATATTTTTTTATTAAACCCGTTAAAAACGATATATAAGAGTAAACGAGCCTAAAATATTATTCCATTGAAATTACTGTTCTTATATTTTGGCGAAATCATTGAAATTATTGTTAATTTTCATAAATTTTCACACTGGCATGATTACATACCTTCTAGAAGATATAACTAAATTACTAATATGTCATTCTCAAAATCAATAAAAATATAAATCACATTGATCATGTTCCCTTTGACTTCAAAAGCGACGTTTTTTCTCTCTTATTTATATATATATATATATATATATATATATATATATATATAAAGGATTAATATTAAAATAAGTGTTTAAATTATACTGTTTTTCTTAAATAGATGCATAAACTATTTTATGACTCCTTCAGGTTTATAATATTACAAACGTTATCCATTTAAGTGTTCGGGCCGTCCACGATGTTAATTTCTCCAGTTAAATGACACATGTCACAACCTGATAATTTTAAAATTTTTTTTAAATATTAAAAATATCATGATATTTACAAAAAAATCTTATATTATAAAAAACTCCAAAATCTCAAATCCTAATCTTAACCTATAGTCGTCGCCCTTTCCAACCACAATCAATACCACCAACATAGTCCCTATCATCCTCCTACTTATACCTTGTCATAGTTTCTGTCGATTGGCCATCAAATTCGAATAACATAATACTTGATTTTAATGTAAAAGGAAGCTAAAACAAATACATACATTCCAAAAATGTTAAAAGCATTATCGGACTCGTCGAATTCACACGAAAAGCTCAGAACATCTCTCTTTAGACAATAAAGTGAGATTCTAGAGATGGAGGAAATTCTAATACACAACTTACTAGTATAAAGTAAAGAAGATAAAATAACATTTTAGGTTGAAATCGAAAATGCTATATTTTTTTATTATAATTTCGGTTGTAAGTCTTAAACCCCATAATGTAATTTTTTGATTACAATAAAAAATGTTATAAATTTGTATAACTTTTTAAATTGAACAGGATGACATTTTAGGTTGAAAACTGTCTTAAATTAGTCATAAATTAGATTATCGCACATAAGTACGGCTCGAAAGATTAAAAAAAGTTATTGGTGAGAAAAATTAAGGATTCAAGATAATTAATTTGACAATTGCAATGGAGGCATATAGTTTTTTAGAAAAATAAAATAAAGAAGGGACATTAGATAATTGAGTATCAGATAAATGAAATTTTATAATTCAAACTCGACCATTAAATTCATAAAAAAAACGAGTTGAGTACTTGACCTGAAAACTTGAGTATTTTCCTTTAAGATATTCAATAATTGTTAATTATGTAACATATTGTAAAATCTAAACAAAGATTCATACATAATTTTTATTCATAATAAAAATTGGAACATCACACGCCAAATGAGTCCGACAAGTTGCAGGCACCGAGGAGGAGAAATCAAATTTGGGAAGCACGTTGGCCATGAATGTCAGAGTCAGACATTTTGGTTCTTTCGCCACGTCAGCACCTCCAAATTCTTATCTTCCCAAAGATTTGGGCCTTAAACGAATTGGACTGTTTTAAAACTTCAATTTTTGTAACTTTAGGTCAAAATTCACACAGTACGTCATGCGTGTAAAAAAATTGACCATTATATCATCTCTAAAATTAATTTGGGATTTACGATAAATGTTATAGTGTAAGGAAAACTCGTCAAGTTCACATGAAGAGTTTGTTCAAATAATATTTTTTATTTAAACTTATCATGTCGAAGTGACGAATTTCAAATCACTATAACAAATATAATTGTTCCCAACATCATTTTTGTGGTGTCGTATTAAGCTAAATAAAAAACTCACTTTCTATATTGGGCTAATTTTGCCCTAATGTTTGCTCTACACTCTTATGTCCCAACCCAACAAGCTTTGCCTCTCAAATTTAATGGATAATAAACATGATATTTTATTTTTATTTATATATTTATTTATAAAATACTTTTTATAGATGTCATATTTATCGTGCATCTATATTTTTTATTCCAAATCTATTATATTTATTGTGTATCTATATTTTTTATTTCATATCGATTATATTTATTGTGTATCTATATTTTTATTTTGAATAGACAATATTTATTATCTATCTATATTTTTATTTTGAATATATCGATTTTTATTATATGCATTAAAATCGAAAAAGGAAAATGATTTATATTTATTAAATTTTATTATTTCATATATTTTAAATATATTTATACCTACTATAAATTTTATCATTATAGAAAGAAAATTGGGTAATTCGCCTTAAAAATGACAAAATGTTATATTTAGTCCCTTTTAAAAATAAAACTAAATTTAATCCTTTATTCCTCATGATTAAATATAATTTTTTTATTTAAAAGTTAATAGTTTGAATTAAAACCTTTTAAAGACTATAATTAGATTTTGTGAATTTATATTATTTTGATGTTATTTGATATATATATATATATAATTGTATTATATTGTGTTTAAAATATTATAGTATTTTATATGATGATAATAAATATTTGAATATTTTGCATGTGGCATATATGCATTATATTGATGTTAGTTTTTATATTATAGTGCAATATGTTTAATATATAATAATGGTTTTTGTGATTTTGTCTAATTGGACCCAAAAAAAAACTCAATTAAAATTAGAGTAAACTTTAGTATCTTAAATATGAGTTTTATTTTATTTAGTTCACCGAATACTTTTTTCCAAAATCAGATATAACATTTAGTTTTGATTTTATTTTAGTCACTCGGTGTTAAAAAATTAACCGTGATGTTTATACGTCATCATAAGATAATGTCACGTCATCATTGAAAAAAATAAAGAAAATATCACGTCAGTAATTTTATTAATGTTTTAATGACGAATGACCTAAATAAAACCAAAACATAACGTTAAATATAATTTAAAAAAACAGTTGAGTGATCAACGAAACAAAGTGATAGTTAGCATACTATATATATATATATATATATAATTTACCCTTAAAATTATAATAAAAACAAATATATTATTAAAAAAATGATTAGATTAATTAAAATTATTTCAACTCGATTTGATCAAATTTATAAAATAAATTAAAGTATTTAATTTTTTAATTATATTTAATATATTGATTTTGATTAAAAATTCGATCGAGTTAATCTAATAAACCGATTCCATGCATTGTTCCATTGGGCTCATCTATGCCCAGTAGATTTGGGCTGTCAATCACAGCCCTCAAATTTCTTTCCGAAACTACCCTCTTCAGTTTGTCAACTTTCTCGAAGAGAACCCAACAAGAGACGAGATTTCCCAAAAGGTCAAAGTCAGTTTCCTTTGACTACAGGGTTAAAACAGTCAATTAATCCCCCTTATAAGACTCACCACCATGTAATTAGTCACTACCCTCTTATTCCCCAAGGAAATTACCCTTTTTTCACACAATTTTTCTTCTTTGGAAGAACCAAAAAAGAAAGACATATAAATTACACGCCAATCCAAGCACGCCCTAGGGTTTTCTCCTTCCTCTCTCTTTTTCTTCTTCTTCTTCTTCTTCAGTACTCTTAGCAAATAAAAACCCAAACTCTAAATCCCTGCTTCAGCATTGTTTTTTTATAATAAAAGCTGTTTTTTATTTGATCTCTTCACCTTTAAGGCAAACTCTCAATAGCCTGAAGCTCAAAACCCCAATTTTCTCAACCTCTTCAAGAAACCACAGTTTGAATCAAAAAAGGTTTTTAACTTTGCTCTTGGAATCATCGACAATACAAGGAAAGAACAGTTAAAAGGGGAAAAATATTCAATATGGATGATGTAGAGAAGGCAATAATGATTAGCTTTGATGAATCAGGTGCCATAGATTCAGAGTTAAAATCCCAAGCAGTGAACTTTTGTCAGAAAATTAAAGAAAACCCATCAATATGTAGCCTTTGTATTGAGAAGCTGTGTTTTTGCAAGCTCGTTCAGGTTCAGTTTTGGTGTTTACAAGCTTTACAAGAGGTTATTAGGGTGAAATATGGGTCCATGAGCTTGGAAGAGAAGAACTTCATCCGAAAGTCGATTTTTTCAATGGCATGCTTGGAAGGTATAGATGATAAGATGTGTGCTGTTTTGGATAGTCCTGCATTTATAAAGAATAAGCTCTCTCAGGTTCTGGTTACTTTGATTTACTTTGAGTACCCTTTGATTTGGTCCTCGGTTTTTGTTGATTTTCTACCTCATTTGAGTAAAGGGGCTGTGGTGATCGATATGTTTTCTCGGATTTTGAATGCCTTAGATGATGAATTGGTTAGTATGGATTATCCACGAACACCTGAGGAATTGTCAGTTGCAGGAAGGGTTAAGGATGCAATGAGGAGCCAGTGTGTGCCTCAGATTGTTAGGGCATGGTATGACATTGTGTCTATGTATAAGAATTCCGATCCTGAAATATGTGCTACTGTTTTGGATTGTATGAGGAGGTATGTTTCCTGGATTGACATCGGGTTGATTGTGAATGATGCATTTATTCCACTTTTGTTCGAGTTGATTTTGGTTGATGGTTTGTCGGAACAGCTCCGTGCCGCTGCTGCAGGATGTGTTTTGGCAGTAGTTTCTAAGCGAATGGATGCACAGTCAAAATTATCCCTATTGAAGAGTCTTCAAATAAGTCGAGTTTTTAGCTTAGTATCTGATGATAATGATTCCGAGTTGGTTTCAGCAGTAGCAGCCTTAATTGCAGGGTATGCAGTGGAGGTTTTAGAGTGTTCCAAAAGGGTGAACTCAGAAGATGCTAAGGTGGTTTCCACGGAGCTTTTAGATGAAGTTTTGCCAACAGTTTTCTATGTAATGCAGAATTGTGAGATGGATGCAGCGTTTAGTATTGTCCAATTTCTTTCATGTTATGTTGCTACCATGAAAACACTTTCTCCTTTGCAAGAGAATAAAATGCTTCACATAAGTCAGATACTGGAAGTGATTCGTATTCAGATTCGTTATGATCCCACATACCGCAACAATCTCGATATATTGGATAACATTGGGGTGGAAGAAGAAAACAGGATGTCGGAATTCAGAAGGGATCTATTTGTGTTGCTACGAAATGTGGGTCGAGTAGCACCTGAAGTCACTCGGATCTTCATCAGAAATTCATTAGCTAATGCTATTACATCTTCATCAGACAAGAATGTCGAGGAGGTAGAAGCTGCCCTTTCCCTTTTGTATGCTCTTGGAGAGTCTATGAATGACGAGGCGATGAAGGTGGGGAATGGACTATTAAGTGAACTGGTGACAAATCTTTTGTCAACAAGATTTCCTTGTCATTCCAATAGGGTAGTTGCCCTTGTGTACTTGGAGACAGTAGCAAGGTATATGAAGTTCATCCAGGAGAATGTGCAATATATTCCTTTGGTTTTAGCTGCCTTTCTTGATGAAAGTGGTATACACCATCCAAACATCTATGTGAGTCGCAGGGCCAGTTATCTGTTCATGAGGATTGTTAAATTGCTGAAATCAAAGCTTGTGCCTTTCATAGAGACAATTTTGCAGGTATTGCTACTTTCCAAGCACGTTTTTGAACGTTTATTGTCACCTTATTCTCAAAATTACCTACTGGAATCTTTTATTGATGGTCAGAGCCTGCAAGACATAGTTGCTCGATTTACAAGTATGAGTTTTGCATCAAAGGAACCTACAGGATCTGAAGATGGTGCTCATATTTTGAGGTATTTATCAAATTCTTATGTTTCTATCCAGTAACCTACTTTCCTTTTTTGGCGTGTTTACTCTTGTACCTCTACTCTTTATGTTCCCATGGATAGACATCGGTATCCCTTGTTTTATCAGTTGGTGACATTTTTGCTGCTCCCCTCCCATATTTTTTCACAGGCAATTGGTCTATTGATTGGAATGGAAGATGTCCCGCTGGAAAAGCAATCCGATTATCTCTCTTCATTGCTCACTCCTCTTTGTCAACAGGTTTTGATCTGTACTGTGAAGTCTTTAACTATTTTGCATGGTCTTCTTACGTGATCAGCATGTTAGCAAATTGATTTTTTATACGTTTTGGGGCTGCATTTTACTCGTATGGTTTATGTCGCAGGTTGAGGCATCACTAATGAATTCAAAAGTGTTGAATCAGGAAGAATCTACTGTACAAATTGCTAATCTCCAGCAAATAATTGTGGCAATTAATGCTCTAAGCAAGGTTACCCGTCTATCTTTTGACCATCTAATATGCTTCTTGATGAAGCATTTGTCGTTAAATATGTTTGCCTTTCAAAAAAATCTTCTTTTTACTACTGTTTCCTACCATCCTGAATTCTTTGAAAGTGCTTCTGGAATAGAAGTTTCTCTTAAAAACTCTTGGATTTCATTTTATACCAATAAATTTTGGTAAAACCATTTGCTGTAGCCATATGGCTCATTATCTTGTCATTTAGGGTGCTACATCATGTTACAGTCCCATCTTTAGTTGTTAATTTCAGCGTATCATGAGCTCATTCTCTTAATTTTATTCATTATCCAGGGTTTCAGTGAGCGCCTTGTAACTTCTAGTCGCCCTGCAATTGGTCACATGTTTAAGCAGGTTAGTTTCAAAGATGGATGATTTTACTTGTACTTTAACTGCACCTCTTTCTACAGTCAAAGGTTGAGAAATTTCTATATTTTTTCTCCCTCTAGTAGTTCATAACCGATCTTTTGTTGCTTGTATGTTTTAGATTATTAACGTGGATGTTTTGGAATGAAATAGTGCCTTTTTTTTAATTTATTTATTTTTTGATAAAAAGAGAGGCCTCATTAAAAAAAACCCTTCTTAACCGTCAAGCTACGGAAATAGCTCAACAGACATTGGAAGGAGGAAAAGAGTGCCTCAAATTTTATTACTACAATACCAAATACATCAAGAGTACATATTAACCAATTACAACCAGAACACGTCCTGAAGAATCATTAATTTTGCTTTATTTCTTTTGATCCAGACATTGGATGTTCTTCTCCAAATTCTTGTTGTATTTCCAAAGGTAGAGCCTTTGAGGACTAAGGTACTAGCTTAATGCTGAATATTGAATTAACTTGGTCTTGTTCAGTCTAAAACATTACCTAAAGCTAATTTCTTTGATGTTTAGGTTTTATCATTCATACACCGTATGGTGGAGACCTTAGGAGCATCTGTGTTTCCTTATCTTCCGAAGGCATTGGAGCAGTTACTTGCAGAAAGTGAGGTAATGATCTTTTAAAATTTTAGCCTATTTTCAACATGCCTTTTCTATTTTTAAAAGGACAGATGTGCCATTAAACAGCAATTCTCAGGGTATTATTTTTTTTAATCAAACAAAATATCAAATTGACCTTTGGAATCTGCATAATTTGCTGCATCCAAAACTAGATGCAGGGTTTTTGTTGTTAAACAGTAATAGTTTTTTATGCGAAGTTCTAGTTATTTATTTATTTATTAATACCGGGAAGAAATATGATCCAAGCTGGAGTTACTTCTCGAACACAACATGCTTTCTTGTTTGCATGGGATCTCGGTTTCCGTATGTATGTTTTATCTTTCCGTATTTGGTTTCAACATAACCTGTTTCGGCCTTCTTGAAAAAATCACTTAGTGATATCTTCCACCTTGATATATGCAAATATTGTCCTCTGGAACTATATTTGGAATTTTCAGTTGCAAATTTATTTATTCGATTCTGGATTATCTCCTTTTGTAGCCAAAGGAAATGGCTGGTTTCCTCGTACTGCTCAATCAACTTATGTGCAAATTCAACACCTTGGTCCGTGAAATATTGGAAGAAGTATTTCCTACTATTGCTGGTAGAGTATTTAGTGCCATCCAAAGGGTTGCTGATTCTTCAGGACCTGAAACCAACACAGAGGTAGATAACTATTACTAGTACACATTTCTGAACTTCCATTTAATTCTTCGGGCTCTTAGCTGAAGTCTGACTTGTCTTTGTGGTGTGAAATTAAACATATTCTTTCATAGAATTTTATCGTTATTATCATCTGCTGCATTCATTGTATTGCTTTATGATTTGGTTTGAACTTGCTCTCTTTTCATGGTAATTCCTGGTTAAAATGTTGGTTGTCCAAAACTTAGTTATTGATTTCGTATGCAATTAGTAATCTTTTTAACTTCCAGTTAACTGTGATACACTGCAACAGCATTTCTGTGTTCATTGAACTTTCCTTTTTCTTTTTTAGGAAATTCGGGAACTGCAAGAACTTCAAAAGACATTATATACTTTTCTTCACGTGATAGCCACACATGATCTCTCTTCCGTTTTCCTTTCCCCCAGAAACCGGGACTACTTGAATTCAATTATGCAGTTGCTATTACATACATCTTGCCACCATAAGGATATAGTTACAAGAAAGGTATGTGTTAATAGCTTTGTTGTTTTATCATTACCAGAACATTTAGACATTTTAAAGTTTCTACGATAATCAGGAGCTGGATCTAACTTTCTGTTATTGCTGTCTGTGAAATAGGCTTGTGTACAGATATTTGTCAAATTAATTAAAGACTGGTGTGCCAGTTCTTCTGGCGAAGAAAGGGTTTGTTTACCTTCTAATTGTTATACTTACCTTTGTTGTGTGAATTTCATGATGCTTATGACTCTAACCGATTAAATATTTTATAGGTGCCTGGTTTCAAAAGTTTTATCATAGAGACCTTTGCCACAAACTGTTGTTTGTACAGCGTGCTTGACAAATCCTTTGAGTTTGGTGATGCAAATACTGTAAGAGAAAATGTTTTTTAATTGATTTGCTTAGTTTGTGATTTGCATTTGTCTGTGTTTGTGTTAGTGGTTGCATCGGGCATTATATTGTTGAAAATGCTTAAGCCCAAAGAAAAGAAAAGGTCTTCTTTCTATCTAATAAAGTCATCCCTGATTGTTTTTTTCCAAGAACGGATTCATTGCCTCCGTAAAATGACATGCAGTTGTGTTATTGTATCTTTTGTTAACGAGTATTTCAGAAATGATTATAGCATGGTAACATGGTTTGAGGGCTTTTATTTATTTGAAGAGAATTCTTATTCTGGTTCGCTACATCTTTTGCATCGATATACTTTCTCACATAGTTTAGTGCATGATAATTTGAAGCAAAAGCTGCATTAGAGTTCGGTTGGCATGCATTGAAGTAACAATAGAGTAACGTTTATTTCCTGTTCGAAAGCTGAATGATTACCTTCTCTTTGACATTGCTTGCAAAGAGAAATATTTGCTTTGATATAGACAATTTCTTAAGGCTGACTCATTATTTCGTGTATATTTACAGCTTGTTTTATTTGGAGAAATAGTGTTGGCTCAGAAGGTGATGTATGAGAAGTTTGGGGATGATTTTCTTGTTCATTTCGTATCAAAAGGACTTCCATCTGCGCACTGTCCACAAAATCTGGCGGAGCAGTATTGCCAAAAGTTGAAGGTACTATTCCTTGTAATCCTTCTAAATTTTATTTCTCATGCCATAATATATCCATGATTCGTTACCAGTTACCGCTCCTATTGTAATCAGATTATCTTTTGTTATTGTTTTATTTAATTTTTTGTTTGATTTTTACATGGTCACTGTCGAAAATTTCAGCTGAAAATTTCAGCCTGCCCTAGTGTAGCATGAAACAATGACCTAAACTATGTCGGGACCAGTTATTCGTTTCTTATTGTTTTATTTAGCATGTTGATATACTACGTCGGGACCATGCTTCTCTGGCCTTAGGATCAGTTATTCAAACCGTTGCATTACGACCTTAAAATGGCACCTATACTCCTCTGTAGCTCTAAACTATCTCAACGATTTGATGGTTTGTATTTGCAGGGTAGCGACCTGAAGGCACTGAGATCATTTTACCAGTCACTTGTCGAACATTTACGACACCAACAGAACGGAAGCCTTGTTTTCAGATAGCATCAGGCAAATGATTATTATTGGGGCTATCCATCTATACACACATTGTTTCCCACCAAAGGTTGCCCATCATCTTGCACTTGTGGTTGTTTCTTTTTCCCCCCATATTTCAAGATAAAAAGAAAAGCGAAGAGTTTCTTATGATATTAAGTCAATGCTTGCAGGTTTCTATGTGTAAATATCAAATGTGTCGTGTTGCTTATTCCATGGACAAAGAGGTATTTTCCTTCTAAAGTTGCTCAGATACCCATCCTGGTGAGAGTTTTTGTGAGAGCTCTTCATAGTTTTCCTTTTTTTTGAACACAAATTTGTTCTTTTGATTATTACCCGAACGACAACGTAAACCAACAACAACAAAAAAAGCCAATTAGGTTTTGAGTTAATGACGATCTCCTGGAAATCACGAGAGATTCCATGTTGATTTTCTCTGTACATAAATATCATGTGTGGGTTCTTAATTCAGATATATTTCGGCCGACATTAACATTATTATTGTGTATTGATCGGATGAATTTATTTATTGACGTGCTTAAATCGTATAACGATGGATGAATTTTATCGATGAATGAGACCTCTAAAAAGTAGAGGTTGACATCGATATATATGCAGTTAATATTAGGTCTAATAGTATTAGTGTAGAATAACCTTGTGTCCGATTCGAAATAGTTGAAACAAAATATGATGAATACTACATTGATCGGTTAAATGCTGAGGACATCGACCGTGTAGACTGTGGTGGTTCGGGTGGTGCAAATGACGACGAGTAGAAAACGTTCGTTTTTTTCTCGATTAGTTGGGGAAAACGATACCATATCGATGAACGTTTCCTCCCGGGTCGATGAATAAATTGTACTCGTTGCCGTCGGATAATATATGGCTTGAACCATCACGTTTAATCCTTCAGATCTATTTTCTGTTTTAATCCCACAACGTCATTAGTCCTCGAGGTAGGATCTTCACACCCTAATATGCAAGGCTTGAAGGTTTTACAAGAGAATACAATATCTAGCAATATTTTAATATTATGAATTAATAAAATAACTCAATAAATACCGTTTTATTGTATTTAAAATCATAAGAAATTAAATAAATAAAGACAAATATGAAATGATCTTGGTGAATTTCATTGTAAAACTTCAAAAAATAAAAAATAAATAAATTTTCCTCTGTCAACGACTTCACCAACCCACCCGCCACCTGCTTAACATTTTTTGGACAAAACATGAAATCCATGTTTTTTTCTGATATTTTTATTACATGTAAATTTCTTGCTGTTGGAGATGGTCTTTTATCTTTTATTAATTAAATTAGGAATGATTCATCCCTAATTTGTTTGAGTAATTATTACGTAACCATCACATTTCAATGTTTTTCAGCTCAATCTGCACCCTAATTCTTTCGTCTAACCATTAAAAAATCTAAAATCTGTTCTGATAACAAAAGTCTGGAGTTGAAAATTTATACGAATAAGGAAAAAATATACATCATAAATCATCTCATTCTTTTATTTCTTTTGATATAAAAGGATTAAGTCTTTCACTGAAATTTTAATTTGATTAGTAGGTGAAAAAAATATAAAATAATAAAGTTAGTTATATATGATACTTTTTTATTATGTTAGCATAATTATCACTATTTCTAAAATAAATTTAGATGTATTTAAAAGTTATATATATATGTGGAAAAATTTACAGCGCTCGACGAACACCAATGAACACCATTAATTTAATTTATAAAAATTTAAAATTTAAATGACCCAATGTATAATTATAAATTAGTTAAAAAATTAAAGATAAATTATTTAAAATAAAGGGTAAACTATAACGGTGACCACCTAACTATTGCCCCTTTTCATTTTGACCATCATTTTTGAAATTTTGTCAATCATGTCACTCAACTATTTAATACATTCAATTAAGCCACTTCACATTAATTTTTAACGGTGAAGCTGATGCAACAGTTAAAATATTTGGTATAATTATAAATTTGGTCACTGTTACTTATAAATTCTATCAATTTGTTTAATAAATTAAATTATGTTTTATGAATGGTATAGGTTCTCAAATCATAACCAAATAAATAGAAAAAACGATAATGCATAAAACCTGATTTTGGTTTTAGGCTAACAACATAAAGTTGAACCTTTTGGTACTGTCAAATTTTTACGGGTCTGAAAGTTATTCTGGGGATTAACTCACGAAACCCGTTGTGGGCTAAGTCGAGAGAGATAGTCAGGTGGAGGGAGATGGTCTCTGAGTCAAAGTAGGACATTGAAGAGAAATATTTGACCATAAAAGGAAAAAATAATATATCACGTGGTTATTTTTTAATGACAACTGAAAACGATAATTATAATAAATACATATTAAAAATTCAAATATTTTATAATAAATTTTAAAAATTTAGTGCCCAAAATAAAAACATCTTAAAAGCTTGGTGACTATTTTTCTCACCCATAATTTGTTTGTTGCTATTACTATCTTTTAGGGTTAAATTTATTTTAATTTATTAAAATTAGGACCAAATTCATAGAATATATAAGTAACAATGATCAAATGTGTAATTATACTAAATATCTTAACTGCCACATCAACTTCTTCGTTAAATATTAACAACAAGTGACTTAATTGAATGCATTTAAATATTTGATTGACCTGATTGACAAAATTTCAAAAATGGTAGTCAAAATGAAAAAGGACAATAGTTAGGTGGTCACTTATATAGTTTACCATTTATTTTAAATTTTCAACTAATTTATAATTATACGTTGAGTCCTTTATTATTTTAAACTTTTATAAATTAAATTAATGGTATTCATCGTTAATGGTGTTCATTGCTGCTAGTCGAGCGTAGAAGAATCATCATATATATATATATATATATATATTGATTGAGTTTAATTTAATTAATACTTTTACTAATACAATATACAAAAATATATATGATTGAATATATTTAAGCATTTAATATTTTTAATTTTAAGATAAAAATAAATTTAAATAATGTAAATATTGTAGTATTAAATATTGTAGTATTAAATAATAAATATATGTGTGAAAAGTTTGTGTTTGTTGAATTGCAGTCTTTTTTATTTTATTTATAAATTTTTTTGAAGTTCGTACTATTCATTACGTAATAAAAATTATTTAATAATTCAATTAGGGTTGAAAATGCGCAGGGCCAAAAGTCTAGGACGTGTGAGATTGGGATTAGCAGTAATTTTCATACTATTTAATTATAAGATTATTATATAGTATTATTAAAAAAATTCTAATTTTACAGACAATGTTGTAAAATTATTATGTCTTTAATTGATATTTTAAAAAATATACGTTGATTAAATGAGAATTACACAATTATATTATATTCATGTAATTAAAATATTTATCATCAATATACCAAAAGATATTTATTTAAATAATTAATTGAAGATACATATTAATTTCTTAATCCAACATATAAAATAAAAACCTCTCTCATTAATAATTATCCTTATTATAAATTAGAAAAATAATTATCCTTATTATAGATATTATACCAAATGATATTTTTTAAATAATTAATTGAAGATACATATTAATTTCTTATTCCAGCATATAAAATAAAAATCTCTCTCACTAATATATTAAATAATTATCCTTATCATTCATTATAATACTAAAAATCTCTCTCATTCATATATCTCAACTAATTTTTAAAATTCAAATATCACACATGTGAAACACATCAAAAAATTAAAATGTGATTTATTATAAGTGTGCATACGCACATAAAATAATCTTTAGCTAAACCAACAATCAATCGGTTTAGTGGGATGAGACAATAGATCCTTTAAGTAATGTCATAGGTTCAAATATTGACGATTGCAAATTGAGTAAATTAGGTTGAGAGAGTCGCCATTGCCTTTGTAGTACCTGATCTAGATTAATCGATCAATAGATCGAATACCGGTGATTATACAAAAAAATAATCTTCAATATATATATATATATATATATATAGGCTTAATACAAAAATAAGTACTTAAAAATTGTCTCAAAAAAACGTTTTAGCACATAAAGATTTTTTTCGTTAAAAATATGTGCTTAAAGTTTTCTCCATTATATTTTTAGGTGTCAAACGTTAAAAAAACTCGTTAAATAATACATATCACGTCTAGATTTTTTAAAAATAAATTATTATTTAAAAAGATTTTTTAAAAATATCTGGACGTAACATATATCACTTAACGGTTTTTTTAACGATAGACACCTAAAAGTGTAACGAGAAAACTTTAGACACCTATTTTTAACAAAAAAAAATTTCTAAGAACAAAAAATAATTTTAAGTATAATTTAAACTCTTATTTTTATATTAAGCTATATATTCTACCTCTCTCAATCTATACATATTATGCAAGTCTTTTGTATATATTATTATTGTATATACTGGTGCAGAAAGCCTAAAGTCAATATACTTTCTAGAAGAAGAAAAAAAAGACTTTTCTGTTCCAAATTCAGTATTTTAAATCAGAATTTCACTGTTCATGGGAGATAAAAGAACTTCGCTGTTGAACAAAATTAAATAAGAATTTGTGAAGAAGGAAAATGAGGTGATTGGTTGAAGACTTGGGTTCTTTTGAGTCTTCTAATCCAATCAGATTTTATTTCAAGTCCTATTATGAATCTTAGGGTCGTGATTGGATTTTCGGGGTTCTGTACAAATTTTTATAATGGGGTTTATATTTTTTAGATATATTTGATTTTCGGACAATAATAGTGGCATTTTTTTGATAAACGTCGCGATAGATCCATCTATAATGATGTTTTATTAATAAAACCGCAATAATAATAACGTTTTTTTGAAAAACGTCACAATAGGTCTATCTATAGTCGCGCAGTTCGCGCCGCCTCAGCCACGGCCCTAAATTGAATCTCATCTTTCTATTTTATAAAAAAAATAAAGATTAATATCTATATTTCTTTTTGAATAATCTAAAGTAAGTACGTGACATTATCTGTTCAATGATTAATATCTATACTTTAATTTATCAGAATTTATTTTTCATATTTTATAAAAAAAATCGATAAATTAATCTATTTGTCTAATACAATAATTTATATACAAAAAATTAAAATAAAGGGGATAAATATATAATTAATGCAAAATGAAGGGATGAAATTCAAAATTAGACCTTTATTTTACTTCTTATTTAAACCATCTCTGAGATTAGCTGGAAGCCGTATCACACCCCCTAAAATGAGAGAGAGAAAAACAACGAACTTTGGAATGACAAAAATGGCTCTCAAAAGGTATTTGTCATTGAAAAACATAATCCCAAGCTGCATAAAACCCCAATCTTCATGCCCAAAAGTTCATGCTTCAAAGCAGAGTCCGAGCCAGAGATTATCACTAAATGAGTTTAGCCACACAGGGTCTCCATTGTCATTGACCGATCTCTCGAACTCCCTCATCAGCCTCCATGTCTTCACGTTCAAGGAACTAGAGTTGATAACTCACAGATTCTCCAAGTGTAATTTTCTTGGTGAAGGTGGATTTGGACCTGTTTACAAAGGGTTCATAGATGACAATCTCAGGCCTGGCTTGAAAGCTCGATCTGTTGCAGTCAAGGTGCTTGATTTGGATGGCACTCAAGGCCACAGGGAATGGCTGGTAAGCAACCAAAATTTCAAGTTTTCAAGTTTGTTTCTTTGAGTTCAAAGATGGTGAAAATGACCTTTTTTTTTACAGGCTGAAGTTATCTTTTTGGGGCAATTGAAGCACCCTCACCTGGTGAACTTGATTGGGTATTGCTATGAAGATGAACATAGGCTTCTGGTTTATGAATACATGGAAAGAGGCAATTTGGAGGATAAGTTGTTTAAAAGTTTGTGTTTCTAAGTCTTTTTACCTTTCAAATGTGTGATTTTCTTAGTCAAATTATGCTGAATTACTCTAATCCAGGACCTTAGAGATAATAACACTCACTTTTACTACGAAGGTCGCTCGTTAGGTTCGATTTTCTATTGTTAAATTAAGATTTTGTAAGTTTTTCTACTTTATGAATGCAGGGGATGGTCCGCCGTTGCCTTGGCTGACGAGATTGAAAATTGCTCTTGGAACTGCAAAAGGGTTGGCATTTCTACATGAAGAGGAGAAGCCTGTCATTTACAGGGATTTCAAAACCTCAAACATCTTATTAGACATGGTAAAAACATCCCCTTTTCGAATTCGACATGCTCTAATGCATCAGCAGAGACTGAATGTTTTACTTTGTTTTCAGGCTTATAATGCAAAGGTCTCGGATTTCGGATTGGCGACCGACGGACCGGAAGGCGAAAAATCGCATGTTACAACTGCAGTCATGGGCACGGAAGGCTATGCTGCTCCTGAATACATTACCACCGGTACTATAAAGTGCAGCACTTGTCTTAGTTTTGACGAAATTATTGGAAAGAATTTATGTGATTTCGGGTTGGCATTTGCAGGGCATTTGACGACTATGAGCGATGTGTTCAGCTTCGGAGTTGTGCTGTTAGAATTGTTGACGGGTCTGAAATCGGTCGACAAGTCGCGACCTGGTCGAGAAAAGAACCTTGTGGAATGGGCGAGGCCTGTTTTGAAGGACCCTTACAAACTTGATGCAATAATGGACCCTAGACTTGAAGGGCAGTACTCAACTGAAGGGGTTAAGAAGGCGGCTGCATTGGCTTATCAGTGTCTAAGCAACCACCCCAAGTCTAGACTAACTATGAGCAATGTGGTCAAGGCTTTAGAGCCTCTCCTCGACTTAACCGACATCCCGGCCGGACCCTTTGTGTATCGAGTTCCGGCCGACGATAATAGCGAACCCGTCATTCGGAAGATCGAACAACGAGAGGAAGAGCTACAAATCGTGAAAAAGGAAGAAAAGAAAGAGAAAAGACGATTGGCACGCCGAAAAATTCGACGTATTCGAGTCCGAGTTAAGCCATCGAGGTCTCGAGTCGTCTATTCGGACACTGATTTGTACAAGGCTTTAGGGTCTAGTTTATACGCTCCCAAGCACTAGAAACAATCTAGACAAACATACCCAGCAAACAAGCATACTTTAAACATTTGAAGTTTCTCTTCTTTATTTTTTAAATTCAATATTCTATTTTTGTCATTGTCCATCCTAGGGTTTTAAATAGCGTTGCCTTCCAATATATTCGCTATACTTGCAATAGCGTCCGCTATGACTAGGGATGACAACGGGCCGGGTTCGGGCCGGGTATTGGTCCCCCGTCCTCGTCTCCGTTTAAAAAACCGGTACCCGTCCCCGTTTAAAAAACCGCGGGGATTTAAACGGGGATCCCCGTCGGGTAATCGGGGAAAACCGCGGAGAAACGGGTATCCCCGTTTAGCATAAACGATTATTTAAACAGGTATTGGGCCGGGTATTGAGTCGGGTATTGGGTCGGTATTGGGCCGGGAATCGGGCCGGGTATATATATATATTTAAATTAAATATATATTTTTTATTTAAATTAAATTTATTAATATTATATATATATATATATAAATAATTATTTTTAATATTTATCGGGGCGGGTAATCGGGGCGGGGATTACCAAACCCGTCCCCGTCCCCGTTTAAAATAAATGGGTTTTCCCCGTCCCCGTCCCCGTCCCCGTTTATCATCCCCGAACACGACCCGTTTAATTCGGTTTTCGATTTTCTCCGTCGGGTTCAAGTTTTTTTGCCATCCCTAGCTATGACTGGTAAACTCGACATGACCGAAAACACGACCGCTACCGCAATTTGAATCTCTGATCCATCCCTTTAGAAAGTCATGAAAAATAGGAGTTCCCATAGAAAGACTTGACATCTTTCCTGGAAACTACCACTTGGATGAAATTGACTGAGATTCATTGTGTTGGGACCTTGATGAAAATTTGCCTGCTAAATTCTTCTGGGTTCAAATGGTCAACATTTATATAAATAATAGTTGAGATAAGAAGCGAGGAAACTTGCCGTGTGACATGGATGAACAAAGTCCTGTTCAGCCATTGAAAAACCAGACGAGTCGATGCAGATTTTACCAAAAGCTGGTAGAAATCCTTTCGTGCTAGTTATACCACTTCCCACCAACCCCACATTTGAACCTCTAAAGATGGAAAAATCTGATTTAAAAAAGTTGGTAGATTATGGCAAACTTTTGAAAACTCTTTTGTTGCTCATAATTCTTGGTAAGGCAAGATATTTGTGCAAGTATTTCTGGGGTAGGGAGTGGACAAATAGGGCAAGGAACAAGCAGCCATTACTTGCATGATTCATGATGACATCTATTGTAGACGTCACTATGATGAAACTTTGAGGGCTCGAATTGTTCATGTTTAAAACTAATAATGACTTGACAAGTATTTATAAAAGTTTATACTAAATTTAAAATAATATAAACTGATATTTGTTATCCACCAAGTTTTAGTGTGAAACAAATGTGAGAACCAAATATTATGCGGCAATAACAAAAAAAATTCAATTAGTTCATTAATTTTTTTGTGTGATAAAAGTAACTAATTTTATTCAAAATAAGAAATATATCGAATTACAATAAAGATTACAATCACAATCGTAAATTAAGCACATAATTAATAAAATTTCTTATAATTATTGAAACAAAACTAGTAACTTAATGTCACATAAATATCATACAAGGAGAGATTAAATATAACCAAGAAACTCGAACAAGATAATTACAAACAGATCTGATTGCATCGGCAAACAGACCACAAAAGGGGATCAAGATATTGAAAGACTATCGACAAATCGTAAATCAAACTCGAGCGATGTGAAAAACTATCCACGAACGCAAATCAGGTTTCGAAATCCAATCCGAGGGTCCAAAGCAGAGAGGATCACAAAATATCGGATAAGCGTCATCTTAATCGGTCGTGACGATGTCAAACCAACTCTTAGAAAAAATAAATAAATAACGACCAAATAATCGAAAAACATGCCAAAAAACATAAGAAAACATGCCATAAAGGTTTATGAAAACGTGAAACACATATAGACATTGAAAATAAAAAAATAAAAGAAAATAAAGATACGATATAGAAAGTAAAAGAAAATAAAGAATACGGGTGGTCGGCAATCAATATTAAAGTTAGTGCCCCCGTCGATCAACAAAGACAGAAAAAAGAGATGAGTGACACACCAATGAGATAAAACTAGAATTTTAGGGTTTTTAAAGATAAATGAAAAAAATTAGGTCATTAAATTTTTATTTTCGTTTCAATCAAGTCTTTTTATAATATTATAGTCTTTCGCATTTACACCCTCAAAGTTTAAAATCTTATTGGAGGGTAACATTTATTGAATTATTTAGAATTAGAATGAGGGTCAAATTGAAATGATTTATAAGTACTAAAGATTAAATTTATTGAGAAATTTTTTAATTAAGGCTAAATGATTTGAATCTGTTAATATAAAAGATTAAATGTGTTATTATATAAATTTTAAATTGTCACATCAATCATTTAGTTATTGATTTAATGACGCATGGTTTGATTAAAACCGAAATAAAAGTTTAATGATTTCATTAATAAAAAGAAAATTATACAGTGGTTAGAATAAAATTGTTTCATTAATTTAACAAGTATCAATGTAAATTACCATAAAAAAAGCCCCTCAAGGAACTCTACGCATATTAAATCAATGTGTAAATCGTGTTGAATTGGTTATCCACCAAGTTTTAGTATGAAATAAATGAGAGAACCAAATATTATGCTGCAATGTAGGATAAATTATCAAATTAGTCATTAAATAACAAAAAATATTCAATTAGGTCATAGAATTTTATTTTTGTTTCAATCAAGTCCTTTTGTAATATTATAGTCTTTCATATTTACACATTCAATCAATTTAGTCCTAATTCAAAATTAATTCAAGAAATTTAACCCTCAATGTTTAAAATCTTATTGGAGGGTAACATTTACTGAATTATTTAGAATTAGAATGAGGGTCAAATTGAAATGATTTATAAGTTCTAAAGGTTAAACTTATTGAATAAATTTTTAATTAAGACTAAATGATTTGAATCTCTTACTATAAAAGACTAAATGTGTTTTTATATAAATTTTAAATTGTCACATCAACCTTTAAGTTATTGATTTAACGATAAATGGTTTGATTGAAATCAAAATAAAAATTTAATGGCTTCATTAATAAAAAGAAAATTATATAGTGGTTAGAATAAAATTGATCCCATAATTTAATGAGTAGTAATGTAAGTTATGATAAAAAAACCCCTCAAGGAACTCTAAGCATATTAAATCAATGTGTAAATCGTGTTGAATTGGTAAAAAAAAAAAAGCATTACTGAATTTCAACTCACAATCAACCATTCATACCACACAATTTATGCTGTATATATACAAATCTCGACTAAGCAGACGTAATACCGATGTATGGCTGACATAAACTGTACATGGTGTTTGCATATATTCTGCTGAAATAACTGTAAAAAATCATAAATAATCTGAGCGTAACATTTTCTAATAATGTGTCGGTTAATGTTATATTTTGAAAATCAAATTTTCGAAAATAATATTACATTCCGTGAATCCCTCTTTTTCTTGGTATCAAAGGCAATTGAACGCCAACTGGGTGGTTAATCTTGAATATCTTGTTGCATAACCCACTGTTATCTCCTCCTTGCCTCTCCAGTTCCACTATTAAGCCAACGGGCTGGTTATTGGTTGGACCATCTTGTACCTATGGTTGTCCTAAAATGTTGAACATGTATACTACTCATGTTCATTTGCTTCTTTTCGTTTAGTTCGCTAAAAATGTTGGGCAATTCATACAAGACGAAGCGGAAGAGCAGTATTATCAGTGACAGGCCTGCAACAGTAGGGATGGCAATGGGTCGGGTCGGGTCGGGTTTTTGGGCCACCCGACCCGACCCGAGAAGAAAGGGTTCTCCACCCGTGACCCGACCCGACCCGACAAAATTAATGTTTCACCCGACCCGACCCGAATATATGACTTAGAAACCCGACCCGAAATAAAAAAAAAATTAATTCAATGAAAACAGTGACTTAATTGAAAAAAATTATATATGGAGGGATATTATTGTAATTATCCCTAAATATATAAAATAAAATTATATATATTTTTCGGGTCGGAGCGGGTCGGATTTTTTTTACCCTAAACCCGACCCGAACCCGAAATTTTTTTTTAAAAATCCGACCCGATCGGGTCGGGACGGGTCGGAACCCGTCGGATTCGGGTTGAGTTGCCATCCCTATGCAACAGTACCACTGTTTTCTTCGATTTCCGGTTGCCTTTTTCGGATGAGTTGTTCCTTTACTTTCATTGTCGTTTTGGCTGAATGATGCTCGATTTCGCATGTCTTATGAACATATAGATTGCAGACATCATAGAGTCAACACCCAAGAAAAGTGGAAGATTAGAACTAATAAAAGTAGCTGCATTTTTATATATAAATACATAACAAGAGCATATCAACGAACGGCTTCAAGTACTCCACCTACTTCTTTATTAGCAACACACACCAACACCGAGTTCTAATGATATGAGCATCAGAATCAAGAATTTTCATATTCAGAACTCGACTCACCCTAAACTCGTTTTGAATCAAATGTCCATCTTTAATCACATCATTATTCGACTTTCTCGAATCTCAATACAATCAACGAGAGTACATATGAAGTGGGAGCCTAGGCTCGGCCACAGCCTCGAGTGGGTACTTATGATTTTCTTATTCAATTTCCAATCATTATCAATAAAGTACACAATGAGACGCATATAATTAATTCTTTGCACAGAGGTTCATGTATCAGTAGTTAAACAAACTCTAGAACATGAACTTTTTAAATACTGTTTCAGCTTAACCCTTTCATCCAAATACAATTGATAAACATCTCTAGTTATAGTCAATCTTGAAGGAATACGAAACTTGGGGCATGTTACAAATATAAATTTCCTAAATTCTTCACTCTCAACAAACTTGAAAGGCAATTCATCAATCCCAATCATTTGGGCTAAAACTTTTCTAGTTGCTTCTTGATCAAATTTTCAAGTTGTGAGATGTCCTACTTCCCCTCGAATACCCTTACCAGTTA